ACAGGCAAGTCCAACAAAATAACTTTAGACATCAGATGAGATTACATGCACAGAAACATCTGACATACTTTTTTTCCTTACAATTTGGCTGGTGCTGACTGTCCTCTGTGCCCAAAAGAACCATGATATCACATCTGCAGAGATTTTAAATCATTATAATCTCATAGAGCTTTCAGATGTAACCAAATCACTGTCTCACAGGGTTGTATTTAATTACAATGTTGAGCATACTCAGATATTTTTGTAACCATCTTCTAGGCAAAAACTGAGCTATATGTATAGGTAAACTTCTTTTACTGGTTCTTTTTTCCACCAGAGGAAACCAAGGATTATGTTTAAAATATATGCCTGCAGGTAAGAACAGCTGTAAAATCACTTTCCACTTATTATCAATGTGTCAATCCCAGACTGTGGATTTATTGTTAAGAATGAACAGCACCACTTTAATCTCCTTACTCCCATTTCCTTCAAGAGATCACCTGAACAGTACAGACTTCCCAGGAAACATTAGTACAGTGGGACTGGTGATATCCAATAGAAAACAAACAAACAAAAGAGCAGTTCACAGAATCCTAGAATGGTTTGGGTTGAAAGGGACCTTAAAGATCATTCAGTTCCAATCCCATATCATCTAGTTCTACCCTAATTCAGAAAATCCAATTTATTCTCTGTGTAACAAGACTTCTCTCACTGTTCTGCTCGGGCAGAACCAACATGAAAATGTGGGAAGCAGGATATAAAATAAAACAACAGCTCTTATACCTTCCCTCAATTTTCGCAAGGATCCATTTGCCAGGATTTAGTGGATTGCTGCCAGGCAAGCAGCACTCAGCAAGCACATATGCCAAATTCCCCACCCCAGGGACATGGGGCCACTATAACCAGGAGAAAATCCCCTTGCTCCCCATCAGTTTTACATTCCTCATCACTTGCAATGGCCAGAATTCCACCAAAACTTTCCAACTGTTTTAAATCTATATTTTATAATTTTAAAAATCTGTATTTCAAGAGATGAGCAACTGCCTTTCTCCAGAGGGAGGATTACTTATGTGAAATATCCACATGAAACCAGATCTCAAACCAGAAAAAAGTCTGCATCAGACTGAGAGCTTCCATTTAAAAAAGGTGTGTAGCACACCTAATGCTTAAACTACCAAGACAGCACTGCTTACATCACAGCTTTAGGACAAAGGAACCCAACAGGCATGTTCCTTGGGCTAAAAAAATTTAAAATATAACCAAGCTCTCCACAGCATGCTGAGTTACAGGGCAGACAGCTTCAGCTGTGCCAAGGAGCCTCTCTGAGCTGCTCAGGATTAAAGCCCAGGCTGCTCTCTCCAACAGTGCAGATGACAACAGCAACAGAGAATGGCCTGGAAAGAACATCTGAGAAGAATCTCTCTGCTTTTTATTAGGTATTTGTATGTAAATTGGCTTTTGAAAAGTTGCTCCTGTCAGCTTCTACGCTCTGGGACACAGATGTTGCCACCTGACTCCAAGTAGGGACAGTAGGGTTAATGAATTAAGCTTTTAATTAAGTTTTCTTACAGATTGCACCATCCTATTTTCCTCTTTGTCTTCCTCCAGAAAAACAGAACAAAAACCATAAGGCAAATCAATTTGTTCCTGTCATTAATGTGGTGGCAACCAGCCTTTGGAAAAGGTTATTTGTCATCACATCCTCTCCTGCGAGCTCCTTAATACTGCTGGAGCCATGGGATGTCCAGGAAAGGCACCAGGAAAACTTGTCCCATGCAGGGATTGGAACCAGTTAAAGTGTCTGGAGAAAATCCCCCGTGTGAAAGTCGATAACTCTGTGAAGAGAGGCACAGGATAGGCAGGAGACTTTCCATTATGTGCCCATTTGATTGCACTGAGGTTGGCATCCAATTGTGCTATTGGCTTTTGCTGCTGCTGGGGTGGGAGATGATGCAATGAATGCAGCAGGAAAAGTTTCCACTGTCGTGTCCTAAAGTTCCCAAATTCATGGAAGCAATGGATCATGTTTTCCACCACACCAAGTTTATAATTTTTACATAGCACCACAGTGTCTCAGGTTATTTATGTCTCCAGAGTATAAAACTAAGTTATCACTGTATTATCAATCCCATTCCATTTAAAAGGGTGGTAACATTTTACATTTGAAATTAAACAATTAATTAATTCCACATATTTTCCTGACTGAACAATCCACTGTCCCATCTTGAATTAATCAATTCCCTCACTTCAGTTAAAAAGCAGATAAAAAATTTTAATTTCTAAGGTTTACCTTAGAAGTTTTTTTAAAATAAAGAATTTTTTTCAATTCAAACATCCATTCTATGCCTTAGCAATACTTTCTGTTATTAAACCGGAATTCAACCTTGATGAATTAACTCATTTACACCCTACAAATAATTGCATTTAAATTAACTGCTGAATAATCCAGGGAAGACAGAAAACTTCAGAGATGTGGCAGAGCAGTCTTGCATTATCTCCTTGCAGTTTTAGTGGTGTAACTGCTCTTTAGGACAAGGAGTGGGGATTTAAACTGAAAGAAGATAGACATAAAGAAGAAATCCTTCCCTGTTGAGGGCATGTCATCAGCATTTAAAGCAGATAATACATCAGACCTGGTAGTTTCAAATATTGTATTATATCAGAATGATATTCAGTGACTATTTGCACGGGCAAGCAAGTCTCAGTGCCTTTCTCCACATTAGTAAGCATCCTCCCCATTTTCCTGAAGTTAATGTATGGATAACTGATCTCTTATGCAAAGCTGAAATAGGATTTAATGAACCTCCATTACTCAAGCTGCACATTTTCCTCAAGATGAAAAATGCCATGTACAATGTATTTTCCTGCATGTGAATAAGCCCATTAATATAGATTTCTGAACAGAGTGTTTCTACTCAGCAATTTTTGCCCTTTGGGAGGGAGAAGGAAAGAGAGAAAGGAGCAGACACTTCCCCTCACTCCCCCACATCTCTCCAGAAAGGAACTGGATCAGCTTTGTTAATACTTTGGATTCAGAGCTGTTCTTAGCACAGAGGCACAATTGCCTTCTGACAAATGTTTATGAAACCTTTGCTGCCAGCATTAAATCTGTTCTAATGTATTCTTCCCCGACTTTGATACGAAACGATAACAGAGAAAGTAATCAAAGCAGTACAAACCTGGCAATATCAAAAATTGCTCTCACTTTCACACCTTGTTTGCCTCTTTGACTAATTCCCCCCCTGAAGAAGCCCTTGTGAGGAATCAAATCTGGATGCACCACCAAGAGACATTAATCTCCAGACAGGTTCTGAAATGCAAATTCCTTTTGCTTTAGCAGCAATATGCAAGCACCAGTGAAATCACTGCTCAGAGGTACAAAAAGCTCATTTGCAGCCTCAGTCAAGTACCTGAAACACAACTTGGTGTGTTACTGTTTTTTTTAGTTTTCCTGGTGTTACTTCACAAAAATTCTAGATTTACCATACTTTGATGAAAAAGTGTGGTAAGCAAGTCTACCTTTCCTCTGTATTTCTTGGAATTTCACATTAATTCTGCCTCCTCCTCCCTTTTCCTCTCAATTCCCACTATTGCCCCTCCAAATGGATCCACTGGGCCTCGGATTCTCTGTGGAAACTCAAGGAGAGTTTTCTTCCAAACCTTGCCAGGAGAACTCTGTTGCTTTCCCTCTCTCTACTCAGATAATTAATAGATATCAACTTCAGACACACTTCATAACTAATTTATGTAAGGTTGTACAGAAGTTCATTTCTTCCTGATTATCTCTCCTGCTCAGTTCTGAATCAGGAAAAGGTATATTTTTTGAGAGCTTTACTCTTGCACTGCACAAACCCAATACCTTTATGAAAAAGGCTCAAATCAACAGAGAAATAAACCAACTACTTTTAAAAAGAAAAAAAAAAGGTGGAAAGGAAGGCTTTGATGGAATTGACATTTTCTAATGAAAAAATCTGTTGTTAGAAGGTAGCAGGAGGTTTCCAAGTGGAATTATTTGATATCTCTGAGGCAACATGCAGCAGACACAGCTTCTCTCTTTTGCAGAAACAACCCATCCATTCACACTGAAATACAGAGACAGGGATATGGATTTTGTAGACTAATGATCACTGGAAGAACCTTGCAAAAGGCCAACTCTTCTCACTGAAAATGTCCCCAGTAACCAGGGAGTCTGCTCTGCAGAGCTTGTCTCAAAGTATGGGCTCACAGCTTCTCTTGACAACTTTACCATCATCAGACCCCCCCAGTCAATCACATCGTGTCCAGCTGGGAAATTCCTCCCCAAATTGTTCAACTCACATAGAAACTATGCCTGAACCTCAGAACAAAGTCTAAGATAGTTACCACAATTTTCTTTTTTTTTTTACTATTGTTCTGCATGAAACGCTGCCATTGCTTTACATATTTCAGATTTTTTCTTTTTCTCCTACAATAAATGTGGTTTCCTTGAAAAACAAAACAAACACCCCCCCCCCCCCCCAAAAAAAACCCAAGCTGTAATTGGATATTCAGGAGAAAAGCATAATAATTCCAGTATGCCACCAAAATTTCCTCAAGAAGACACCAAAAGCTAACTGAGGTTCTGTGTTTTAAAGGTCACCCTTTCTACCAGCAGTCAGCTGTATGTTCAACGTATATCCATGGGGGAGAAGAAACTGCTTAAAAACTGTGAATTCTCCACAAATAAATAATCTAATGTCTCAATTCCAGCAGCATCAGTTCTACTCGGGTTCCAAAGTTACTGTTCAGAACAACAAATCTCTTTCACCACTCCCAAAACAAAACAGTGAAACTCATGTCTTCAGTGCTCCTGAATTTTCTATCCCATCCCATACAAAGTAAACTGCAATGAAAACCAATTGAGAAGTTAAATGGTACCCTCAGAAACTCTGTTTAATGATCTGCTTCCCTCTTCCCCTCCACAGCCTCAACCAAAAGTAACAATTAAATAAAACCTGGGAAGGTTTTGTAAACAGATTGCAACCAAAAGGAAAAATTCTTACCTTGAAGCATCAAAGCTGTCATAGGATCCAACCGTGTAGTGTCTGAACAGCTTCTTTGTTCTATCTGTTCGTGTTTCTGCACAGAGAAAAAAGAATTTTCAATACTTCAGTATTTCTTAATCAAGTGCTGCAGTATTTGTTTATATTCCCTTGCAGTGAATGAATGTAGTTTCAAGGCATTTAGGAAAAAAATGTTGGCTTTGGAGATATTCTTTTATCACATCAGACACATCAAGTGAATAAGGAGAACTTCTTGGAGACCATGAATCACATCATTCACAAGTTTTAAAGCTCCACTCACATTCTCAGTAGCAAAAACTTTTGCATCCAATATTTGGTTCTTTTACAGCTAAGAGGCAAAATAGAAGAAGTAAGAAAGAAGAAAAATCTGCAGCAGATGTCAGAAAGGTTGGGAAAATAGCCAGAATATGCAAATCAATATTTTTTGCCTAACTACAGGTTGGTCCTCCAATGAAATCACCTTTGGTTTGGCCAAGAGACATCAAAAATCAGATGGAAAAGTTTCTGGTTTCGATTACGAGCATGAAGGTCTCATCTGCACAGCTGAGGGAACTCCATGGAAGGACAGCCTGACACAATTCCAACAGATTTTTTTAATTCTCCAAGCCACACAGAGCCCTCTGTGGCACAGCTTTTAAGGATGGTGCAAATGACTGAGAGATTGGTGCTGTCAAATGACCAAGGGCAAGACTGCAGAGAGAAAAAGAACATCAGAGCAGGATGGAAGGGCTTTGAACACAGCCAAGGAGCAGGAGAAAGTCCTGGGAGACAGACTTTGGGAAGAAGGGTGGGAAAAATGCATATTTCCTTGCTTTAACCACTGCAGCTGACACATAACTGGATCATGCCCCCAGCTGGAGGCATAAATCCAAATACAACAATAATACAGAGAAATTCCAGCTGGAAATGTACATGTAGGTTGCAGCTTCTAAAAGAGTAAGAAAGTTATTTCTTCAGAGTTGTGCACCAATTGGCAAAGTCCAAGAAAAGCAGTACTAGGAAAAAGTAAAATGTAAATAGAAATAATTACATTTTTATATATTTTGTGGAGACCAGCCAGCCTTCATCCTACAGGATGGCCAGAGAAGTAGAAAATCCCTATAATATGAACTCTAGTTGACAGTTTAGTTTCTTTTGTCCCTTTGTCATTCACCTACAACCTGTATTTTTTGCCTAAACGTCCTTTCCTTTATCCAAAATTCCTGATCCTACTGCAAAAATTGCAGTCTGTTCTCCACCAAGCAACATTCTTTTTTTTATGCCATTCTAAAAATCATGTGCACACCAAGAGACATAAACAGAAGAAACAGAGAAAATCATAAACCTGGAGTCCACTGTGAGTTTCCCCCCGGCCTGTTCTCAGAAGTCCCTCAGAAATTATTACAAGAAATAAATTATGATGAAGAATATTTTGAAATCTTAAAGCAACTGCTTGAGCCCTTAAGGAGCCAGATGTTCCCCCTGCAGAATCTGTTTTCTGCAGAGTGATATTTCAGTGCTATAAGGAATACAAAGTGGGTGGGAGGGATGGGAAGGCACAGCAAGACAGAGAGCTTTGTTCAGCTCCTCAGGATTGCAGAGCCAGCACTCTTCAGCTGCAGCTTGGATCTGCTCCCCAGCTCTGCCTCCCCTCTGCTTCCCCCCTCTCCTCTGTGTGCAGCCAGGGATTCTTTGGGAAAACAGAAGCTTTGCAAGGCACTGAACTCCAGGCTAATGGCAGTTTCCCAGGCTGCTGAGTGAAGTTCTCTAATTGCCTTCTTTCCCTCAGCTCCAACTCAGATTCCAGGCTGCCCCATCACACACCCAGGAGCAGGGGGTTCATTCTGCCATCAGAATGAACTGGGGACTAAAAAAGGAAAAGGATTCCATTCTCTGACTTGACAAAAGAACACAAAGAACCCATAGGCAAATGTCTAACAAATGCTGTTCTGAATGCAAGCCAAATATAGCATAGTAACACTGTTATAGGTATAATAGCACCAAGGGGTTAGCTCCAGGTTTCCCTGGATTTGTACCCATTCTTGTGTCCCAGGTTTTCTTAAGACCAGCATTCTTTTTCAAAATGCTTTGCAGCAAGATAGGACCACCCAAGACTAACAACCCCATCATGATTAAAGAAGCTTTTACTCACAGGATCTTTTGAGGATTTCTTCTTAAATGTGGTTGCAGACAGATTGGAAAGACCAGCAAGAAGATATGGACAAGAAGGTCTAGAAAAACATTATTTAGCCATTTTGTTTTAATAAAGATAATTATTCTAACAATACTGCATTCTCACTGAGTGGAACATCTGTCACCACAGATGAAAAGTCACTCCATAAAGTTGGATCAGTTCAAAAAAGCTTTTCTAAGAGGTAGAACAAAACACCAGGGTTTGCAAACATGGTCCTGTTTCCTTTACACTGACAGAAGAGAGAAACATTGGCATATCACTTGAAGCTTCTATATCTCTTGAGAAGCCCATATTTTACCAGAGTAAATATCATAAGAACACAACAATTTTTCCTGGTCCATTTTCCACTGAAGCCAGTGGAGCTGCAGCAGAAATAAGCTGTGTGCCCTGGGCAATAGTGGCAATCCAAATAATAAAGCCCCAGCTGTTTCTTTATTAGGATCATTTATTGTTGCAGACATCTCAGCGAGCAACAGGCTCAAAGCCTGCCCTTCCAGAATGTAATTTATAGGGTTAGAAGAGGGGTGAGCACTGAGAAAGTGTAGCTGGAAAACATTTCCTCCTTTCTCCACCTCAGGAGCGGTGAGGACTTTCTTCCAAATAAACACAGGACTTCCTGTAGATCCCCTGTCTCAGTCTTGTAAGTGACCACAGGGCTCCAACACGTCTTGCAGACATTATCAAAAGCTGAAAAATCACTGCCATGAAAAGCAAGGAATAAATTTTGGATACTAAACCACACAGATTTGGCCACTCGTGCCCTGTTTCAGCCCACGGAACAATTGTGGGCTTGTTCCAGCAGCCAGCCCGACTCCCACCCTGACACTCCTGCTTGGAGCACGTTGCTCACATGTTTGATATTGCTTTGGAAGGGTAAAGAACGAGGAGGGGGGAAAAAAATCCCCAAGCAGCATAGCTTGTCTCCTCCCTGCTGCTCCTGGCAGGGCATTTGTGCGCCGTGTTTCCAAGGAAACTGCGCGGGGATGCTGTGCCAGCAGGGATGCTGTCAGAGCCTGCCAGCACTCGAGGAAAGGTTCAGAGTCATGTCCACGCCATGAACAGAGGAAACAGCAGTGGAACTGCAGGATTTGTGCCGTGATACTGGCAGGCAGCTGAGAGCAGCAGGCTCTCCCCAGATAGCACTGGTGGGTAAAGGAGGGTTTTATCCCTGCCCCCAAACACGCAGCTTCTTGCCCTGGGACATGTTCCACTCCCAACAGACACCTACAGATGTTCTTTGTCACAGCAGCCCAGGTACAGCTCCCTGCAGGTGCAACACCCAAAACAGTGGCAGAGGTTAAGGCCTTCCCTCTGCACCTTCCCCTTCCTGGGGGAAAAAAACCTTTCCCCAACATTTATGTTGAGGGTTAGATCAGAAGTTTAAAAAAATGCTGATTCAAAGGTGAGGAAAGCAGTCTAATGATAAAGTCAGCAGAAATTCACAATTCAAGGATACTTGTGCTGGTTTGCAACAAGACTGGCCTCCGATCTTACGAGTTTTCCCTTAAATTGATCCAAATTTGTCCATAAGAAAAAGTGGAGAAAAAGTCCACAGAATTTGAAAACATCACTAAGAGCACGCATTTTTCTATCCCAAGTATATCCAAAATATCTGCCTTACCAAATGATGCTCCAGAAAATAATCACGTTAAAAGATAAAAATATTCTTCATACCACAAACTGTGAAGTCTCAGTAACTTTTTTTACTTATTCCCTTTTCCCCTTAGAAAATGGAGATTCACCAGAATAGAAACTGGATTGTCTATTAAATATGGTACATTAAAATGGTGATAAGTGAGAAGTTTTTTCAGGCCTATGATACAATTGTTTAACATGACATTTCTTATTGCTTTTTTTGAGCATTTCATTTGAGCCCTAGGAAAGATGAAGTTCAGGGATCCTCCTCCAAATCACTTGGAGTAGGATTATGGATTCTAAAAAATGTACAAAAAATGGGATGAAGAAATAGAAAATTTCTCTATTAACTGTTTGATCATTGATTTTGATAAAGGGTTATAAAAACTCATGAAAGTGAAATCTGCAGCTATGTACCACCCAAGAATTCAGAAGAAACTACAACTATCTTTTTCAAATCTTTGCAAATCTGAGGTAAAAACATTGATGCTTCATTTGAAGGGATAAACTGTGAGGATCAAGAGAAAACAAACATATGATGAAGGCATTATAAATGGTAAATTGATGAAAACCTTTAATTCATGGCTCACTTTCTTCTGTTTGGATGATCCCAGTGTTCAGCTGCTGTGATGCTCTCAACCAATTTTTCTTTCAGTTAAAGCTGAGAAATAGCAAATCTTATGTGTTTTTTGAAGTTTTTCAGATTTGAGAATAAGCATAAAAATGTCTCAAGGACAATTTGGCTGGAATAGCAAATCCTTGGATGTCCTCCTGCATTGCCTTTCTTTTTTCTTTTTTTTTTTTCCCCCTACTAAATCTTACTTTCAGAGAAAGAAAGGAAGACTGAGTGTTGATTCCCTCCTTCATCCTTAGAGGAAGATTAGCTGGAATGCAGTGAATTCGTTTACCCACAAAGGATGCTGAAATGGCTGATCAATGGAGTGAATCAGCAAGTTTGTTTGCAAGAAAAACCTTAATAACTGAAATATGCAACTTGGACCTGCTGGAGAGGCAGTTATGGAAGAACAGTGTTTCCCATGTCATCAGTTTTCCCTTTAATTTAACAAAAAGCTTACTTAAACCTGAAAAATAAAACCCCAGCAAATATTGTGGAAGCATTTGCTTCTTACTGTCCTAGAAATTTCACCAGCTCTTTGTACAGTTCTGGAATTCTGCAGCTCTTCCCTCATTTGCAGAATATTTTCAAAATGTGGTAATGGTTGCTTGATCTTTTCCTAAGTTCTTCT